CCTCCTGAGTAGCTGGGATTACAGGCACGCACCACCATGCCCAGCTACTGTTTTGTATTTTTAGTAGAGACGGGGTTTCACCATGTTGACCAGGATGGTCTCGATCTCTTGACCTCGTGATCCACCCGCCTCGGCCTCCCAAAGTGCTGGGATTACAGGCGTGAGCCACGGCGCCCAGCCTCTCTTGACACCTTTTATAGCATCTGACATCCCCCAAGCCCATACATTCTCTGATTTTTCCATGACCGTCTCCCCCTGTTGGATCCCAAGGTGGAAATCTGCGTCTTGGACACACCTATGTCCACAGAAGCTAGAGCAGGGCCTGGTGCATAGCAGGTGCTCAATAAACCCTTGCTGAATGCACAATGAAGGTTTAAGGGTTTTGTTTTGTTTTATTTTTTTGAAACAGTCGTGCACTGTCATTCAGGCTGGCATGATCTTGGCTCACTGCAACCTCCACCTCCCCAGTTCAAGCGATTCTCCTGCCTCAGCCTCCCGAGGATCTGGAACTACAGGCGCCCGCCACCACCCAGCTAATTTTTTTGTATTTTTAGTAGAGACAGGGTGCGCCATAGTGGCGAGGCTAGTCTGGAACTCCTGATCTTGTGATCTGCCCACCTGGGCCTCCCAAAGGGTTGGGATGAGAGGCCTGAGCCCCTGTGCCCGGCCTGGATGAAGACGCTTAACATGGGCTGGTGCCCAGGAGGTGCTCCCTTCATGCCCTGCCCCAAAGCCCCTGACGGCTTCTCCCACTAAAGACAGAGGGATTTGTCCCCCCGTGGGGCACCACAATACCCAAGCGAACATGTGTGAGGTCTTGAGTTTCACGCACAGGGCTCCCGGGGGAATGGAGCAGAAGCTGGGAGACCCGGAGGCCTTGGTGCTGGGGGTGGGGCTGGGGTGGGCAGAGAGGAGGCTGGGTCTGAGGGGTATTTTACAGCACACAGGCGCTCACAGGCCTCAGTCTCTCCATCAGTCCCACAGAGGAAGGAGCAGAGAGCCCCCAGGCACCTCCTCTCTCCACTCACCCTCCTCCCAACTCTGCTCCTTCCACATCCCATCATCATAAACGTGGAAGCCACTCAGCCTGTGCCCTGGGCACACCCGTGACCCACTCCCCACTCACTCTCCGGGCAGCCCAAAGAGGTGACTGTTGCTCCTTTCACAGTTGAGGAAACTGAGGCACATGGAGACTCAGGAACCTCCTGGGGTGATGCTGCCAGTGAGGGGGGCCCTGGAGTGCCCGGACTCCCATCCTGCGCACCGTGGTGCCTCAGTTTCCCTATCTGTCCAGTGGACTTCCCTGATTGTGGGTCCTTTGTAAATTTCAGGAATCATGTAGATTTCTTTTTTTTTTTTTTTTTTTTTTTTTGTGAGACAGAGTCTTTTCTCGGCTCACTGCAACCTCCGCCTCCCGGGTTCAAGCAATTCTGCCTCAGCCTCCCGAGTAGCTGGGATTACAAGCATGCGCCACCACGCCCGGCTGATTTTTTCTATTTTTAATAGAGACGGGGTTTCACCGTGTTAGCCAGGATGGTGTCGAACTCCTGACCTCGTCATCTGCCCAACTTGGCCTCCCAGAGTGCTGGGATCACGGACGTGAGCCACAGCACCCGGTGAGACCGTGTAGATTTCAAAGCCCTTTATAAATTACAGGCTTTAGGCCAGGCTCACGCCTGTAATCCCAGCACTTTGGGAGGCTGAGGCACGCAACTCTCTACCAAAGAAAATTAAAAATTAGCTGGGTGTGGTATTGCACACCTGTGGTCTCAGCCACTCAGGAGGCTAAGTGGGAAGGATGTCTTGAGCCTGGGAGATTGAGGCTGCAGTGAGCCATGATTGCACCCCTGCACTCCAGCCTGGGTGACAGAGTGAGACCCCAACTCAAAAAAAATACAAAGAAGCCAGCACAGTGGCTCACGTCTGTAATCCCAGCACTTTGGGAGGCTGAGGCAGGTGAATCATGAGGTCAGCAGTTCGAGACCAGCCTGGTCAACATGGCAAAACCCCATCTCTACTAAAAATACAAAATATTAGCTGGGCGTGGTGGCGCACGCCTGTAAACCCAGCTACTTGGGAGGCTGAGGCAGGAGGAGCGCTGGAACCGGGGAGATGGAGGCTGCGGTGAGCTGAGATTGTGCCCCTGCGCTCCAGCTTGGGCAAGAGATGGAGACTCCATCTCAAAAATAATAATAATAATAATAAATTGAAATGTGATTCATCAGAGCGGTCCAGGGAAGGGGCTTGGGGAGTTTCTGGTCCAAGCCCTTAGTCCAGATGTGGAGACTGAGGCAGGAGAGGCAGGCCTGGGGCAGCAGGGAGAAAAGCATCCCCACTTTGTTTCCAGTCCTGCGCAGCCCAGCCTCCCTGGAGCCTCCCAACACGACCGCCCCTGAGCCCCCCAACACGACCGCCCCGGAGCCCCCCCACACGACCTTCTCAGAGGCCCCTGACACGACCTCCCCGGAGCCCCCCGACACGACCTCCCAGGAGACCGTCCCCCAGCAGGGCCCCACACACAGCCCCAGGAGCCCAGCCTCCACCAGGACCTGCCGCCCTGCGGTCTCCCAGGCTGCGCCCACACAGGAAGAAGTGATCCCGACAAGCTGTGAGTTCTGGTCACTGGGGGCAGGGAGGGTGGGGAAGGGCTGGGAGAGAGAGGCTCCTTGGATGAAGGCTTTAGACAAGCCCTGCCCAGCCTCGATTTCCCCATCTGTCCAGTGGGTCCTTTGTAAATTTCAGGGACTGTGTGGACTCCAAGGCACTTTGTAAATTCTAAGCTTTGTAGACTAGAACAATCTTTTTTTTTTTTCTTAAGACAGGGTTTCACCACGTTGGTCAGGCTGGTCTTGAACTCCCAACCTCAGGTGATCCGCCCGCCTTGGCCTCCAAAGTGCTTGGATTACAGGCGTGAGCCACCACGTCCGGCCGACTAGATCAATCTTTAGAATAGAAGTAGAAACAGGAACAGAATGCAGCCACATTTCTTTTTTTTTTTTCTTTTTTTTTTTTGACACAGAGTCTTGCTCTGTCCCCCAGACTGGAGTGCAGCGTTGCTATCTCAGCTCCTCCAACTCCCCCGACTCCTGAGTTCAAGTGATTCTCCTGCCTCAGCCTCCTGAACAGCTGGGATTACAGGCGCCCACCTCCACACCCGGCTAATTTTTAAATTTTTAGTAGAGATGGGGTTTCATCACATTGGCCAGGCTGGTTTAAAACTCCTGACCTGACGTGATCCACCCTCCTCAGCCTCCCAACGTGCTAGGATTACAGGCGTGAGCCACCGTGCCCAGCCCACATAGGTAATTTCAAATTTAAAAGTAAAATAAGCACTTTGGGAGACTCAAGTGGGCAGATCACAAGGTCAGGAGTTCAGGACCAACCTGGCCAACATGGTGAAATCTCATCTCCACTACAAATACAAAAATTAGCCAGGCATGGTGGTGCGTGCCTGTAATCCCAGCGACTTGGGAGGCTGAGGCAGGTGAATCGCTTGAATCTGGGAGGCGGAGGTTGCAGTGAGCCGAGATCGTGCCACTGCACTCCAGCCTGGGTGACAGAGTGAGACTCCATCTTGGAAAGGAAAAAAAAAAAAGCGTGATCATGCTTTTCACAGAGCCCAATATATCCCAAGCATTATTTCAATAGGTAATCAACAGAAAATAGTACGAAGGAGATATATTACATTCCTCCCTTTTCCCCCAAACTAAGTTCTCAAAGTGCAGATCGCAGGCTAAGCAGCCTTTGTGGCTCACTCTGGACTGCCTTTTTTTTTTTTTTTTTTTTTGGTCTTGCTCTGTGGCCCAGGCTGGAGTGCAGTGGCATGATCTCTGTTCACTGCAACCTCCGCCTCCCAGGTTAAAGCAATTCTTGTGCCTCAGCCTCCCAAGTAGCTGGGAATACAGGTGCCTGCCACCACGCTTGGCTAATTTTTGTATTTTTAGTAGACACAGGGTTTCACCGTATTGGTCAGGCTGGTCTCGAACTCCTGACCCTGTGAGACGCCCACCTTGGCCTCCCAAAGTGCTGGGATTACAGGCATGAGCCACCGCGCCCGGCCAGGACTGCCCATCTCTAAACTCTAAGGTGCTATGCACCTTTCGAAAGGGTCACCGTGAAGTCCTTTGTGAAATTTCAGGGAACGTGGTAACTGTGGAGGCACACGGAGCCTCTGAGGGGCCCCTCCCTTCCCACGCCTGCAGAGGCCTGGAGGGCTCTGACCGGTGTCTCCCGCTCTCTCCAGCCTCCAACCCTGCGAGTGACCAGCTGTCCACGGCTCTGTGGATCGGCAGCGCGGTGCTGGGGCTGCTGCTCCTGGCCTTGCCCACCTATCGCCTCTGGAAACGCTGCCGGCACCTGGCTGAGGATGGAGCCCACCCACCAGCATCACTGAGGCTCCTGCCCCAGGTGTCAGCCTGGGCTGGGTTAAGGGGGACAGACCAAGTTGGGAGCAGCCCCTCCTGAGTGGCCAGCCCTTCCCCCGCGAAAGGAAACTCGCCCTTTCAAGCTGGAAACTGCTCAGGGAAAACTGTTAGATTCAAAGTCGTCCCTCCCTCTGCGACGGATGTGAATTCTGATTGCCCCCTTCGCAGAGGCTCGTTGGTAACTCATAAGAAAGCAACCGTCTGTCTCCCCTACCTGTGACCTGGAAGCCCCTCCCTGTTCGCGTGGTCTCCGCCTTTCCAGACGGGACCTACCTACTTCTCTGTACACACATTGATGCCTTTTGTTTCAAGCTGTGCCCAACAGCCCTGGGCACCTGTGGGCAGGATTGCCTGAGGCTGTGTCATGGGTGCGAAAATACACCTTAACTCTGGCAAATACACCTCCTAAAATGACTGACACTTGTCATTTTTCTCAGTGGACACCCACCCCGTGGAGAGCAGAGGTCCGAGGGCTCTCCGGACAGCTGGAGGGCTGACTGTGGGCCCCTCCTGATGGCTCTGTCTCTCCCATCCCTCGGTCCAGGGCTGGAGAATAAAGCGCGTTTGGTCTGCCTGGCAGAGGTTCCTGTGGTGGGAGGATGCTGGACCCGCCCCAACACACACACACACACACACACACACACACACACACACACCAGATCTCATTGCCCCCTGCCTAGGGCAACGCCCCTGAGGGATGGGACGGCACCCAGGGAGCTCTGCCAGGGGAGGGCCTAGTGGTTTCCCTGGTAAGAAGCTTAACCTGGAGTCTCAGAAAGCAGTGGGGAAGTGAGAAGCTACATAGAGGTGGCCTGGGGAAACACACGGAGAGGCGGCTTACAGAGGAGACTGCTTGTGTTTTGAGGTGGCTCAGGGCTGAGGAGGGCTGGGAGGGGCGGGAGGGCGGCTGGAAGCAAGGTCAGCCAATGAAGGGCTGGAGGTGCCAGCCCGGAGGCACTGGGGAGCCATGGGAGACTTTAGAGCTCTGGAGGCTGCGGTGTCAGAAAGCTCCCTCTGGCCGTCAGGAGGGTAACAGCCTGGGATGCTCGGCCCTGTGGCCTCCAGTGGGGCTCAGCGCATCTGCAGCAGGGCTGGGGAGGGCGCGTCTCCCCGAGGTGAGCTAGCACTCAGACCAGCCAGGGTTCGGGGGTAGGCCCCGCTGAGCTCGACCCCCAGCACAAAGGCTCAGGGATGATCATCACAAAAGGGTCGGGGGAGGGGCCCGGGCGCGGTGGTTCACGCCGATAACCCCAGCACCTTGGGGGAGGCCAGGGCGGGCGGATCAACTGAGGTCAGGAGTTCAAGACCAGCCTGGCCAACACAGAGAAACCCCGTCTCTACTAAAATACAGAAAAAAAAAGGCCGGGCGCGGTGGCTCACGCCCATAATCCTAGCACTTTGGGAGGCCGAGGTGGGTGGATCACCTGAGGTCAGGAGTTCAAGACCAGCCTGGCCAACACAGGGAAACCCCGTCTCTACTAAAATAAAATAAAATAAAATAAAATAAAATAAAATAAAAAAATACCGGGGCATGATGGTAGGTGCCTGTAATCCCAGCTACTCGGGAGGCTGAGACGGGAGAATCGCTTGAACCCAGTAGACGGTGGTTGCAGTGAGCCGAGATGGCTCCACTGCACTCCAGCCTGGGCGGCTGAGTGAGACTCCCTCTCGAATTTAAAAAACAAACAAAAAGCAAAAAACAAAAAACAAAAAAAACCGGGGGGCCAGGAGTGCCCGAAAGCACAAAGCAGTGAGCGCACGAAGCTAAGCTGGGTTCAGCAGTCCAGGCCGGGTCCATCCCCGCGCATGCTCCTCAGGCTGCTCTGGTAACCAGGGAGACTGGTTGCTAGGAGACCATACTGGTTGCTAGGAGACCATACTACCGAAGGACCCGCTCACTACCAAGCCGGCAAGCAATCCGGCTTCATGCCAGAAACGGAGCACTTCCGAGGCAGCCATTTTGGAGCCTGGCAAAACTGAGGATCCAGGCCAAAGCCAGGAGAGCCAATCAATTTACACAAAGACGGAGGCGAAGAGAGAGTGCCAATAAGGACACAGGGAAAAGGGCAGCGTGCTCCTGCCATTTCCCACAGTCTCTCAGCCGGATTCCCGCGCCCTCTGCCCTTCATCAAGATGGCCGCCTCGGGGGCTCTAACACACAGTGGAATATGGCGGTGCTTCCGGTCCCGCTGCCCTCAGCGAAGATGGCGACGGTGGAAAAGCGGCGACCGACGGTAATACCGCCGACCGGTTTCACGGACAGCGGCCGCCCGTCGGTGTCCCAGGCGGCGGTGGCGACCGAGAGCGAGGAGGACTTCCTGCGGCAGGTCGGCGTGACGGAGATGCTACGCGCGGCCCTGCTGAAGGTGCTGGAGGCGCGGCCCGAGGAACCGATCGCCTTCCTTGCGCACTACTTCGAGAACATGGGCCTGCGCTCACCTGTAAACGGCGGCGCCGGGGAGCCCCCGGGGCAGCTCCTGTTGCAGCAGCAGCGCCTGGGCCGCGCGCTGTGGCACCTTCGCCTGGCCCACCACTCCCAGAGGTGCGTAGCGGGTCTTCCTCGGCGGGTGGGGCGGTGGCGGACTTCAACTCGCAGCATGCCCCGCGCGGCTCCCTGCCCGCGGCGCCGGCGCGGGGGGGCGCAGGGCCTGCTGGGAGTTGTAGTCCGCAGTGCCTTCTTGGCAGGGATGGACCGGACAGGTGGGCTGCCTGCAGCTCGAGCCCTTCTGGCCGGCTTCGCCTTCTGTGATGACTTTTTGCAGATGCTGAGATTCCCCTTGCAGTTCATGATTTTTAAAATCATGAAGCCCAGGGAGGACTTGGCCCGAGGTCGCCGAGCCAGCCCCCAGCCAGGTCCTCCTAGCCGCCTCGTTAGCGGCCTCATGGCATCCCCGTCTATTCGGCCAGAACGTGAATATTTACAGCGAGCAACCCAGTCACCCAGGGCCCCCACCTTAGGGGCCAGGGTCCCAGCGGGCAGGCGGGGATTCCTGGAAGAGCCTGGTCGTTCGCGGGGCGGGTTGCGGGCGAGAGGCCCAGCAGGTGCTAATTTAGAGCCCGAGTGTGGGATTGGCTGAGCATGCGGAGCTGCAGGTGCCTAGGCGCGCTGGCCCCTAGCTGGGCCTGGGGAAGGTGGCTGAGGAGTATGTGTTGATGTTGGGTGTGGATGCGTTCCTGTTTTTTGCGGGGGTCCCCAGAAGCAGAGCCTGAGGCAGGCACTTTGTGTGCAGGTGATTTTATAAGTGGGTGCACCCAGGAAGGGGGTTGGTGCAGGCAGGGAGGATGCCAAGCAAAGGTGCCCTTTCAGACTGATAACCAGGGCATAAGTGCCCACCTTGGCAGCCCTCGCCAGAGTCCCAGAGTTCGAGGGGAGGTGGGGGGGAGTGTCCCCCACCAGGGTCAGGGTGCACAGGTGTCCAAGATCATACTCAGATAAGGGTGGCAGGGTGTTGAGGACCTGGACGAGGAGCAGGGTGGCGGGAGGCCCAGTGGCTCTGAAGGCCCCACCTGAGGATTTTCAAGGGCCCAGGGGAGGGTAGTGGGCAAGGGCAGGTCCAGAGCGTCAGTGGAGCCGTTTCCTGGGATGGAAGTCCCTGGTTTGAAGAAGCTGCCAGAATCACTTGTGGATTAAGTTGGAGGCTGGGAGGAGCCTGGAGACAGGAAGGTGGATGGAAGCCTTTGCAACTGAGACCCCGGGGCCACCACAGGAGACTGGACCGGGAGGGGTCCTGAAGGCTTCGGAAGAGATGAGAAGAGCTCAGGGCCACACTCTGACGGTGCCCAGCCCAGAGAGCCCATGAGAAAGGGTGGGAGGATGAGACCAGAGGTGAAGGCGGGGGAGGAGGAAGTCGCCTCCGGGGACATCCGCAAGAGAATCTCCCAAGGAGGAAAAGAGGTCAACAGCAGGCCCACCATGTATGGTTGTTCAGGTCGAGCACTGCATAAGCCACTCGCCCCACAGACGGTACGGATGACAGTATATATGTTTATAATTCCCAAGGGCTGCTGGGAAAACGCGGCTTGTGGCTCTCTCTTCCTCCGTCTTTCTGTTCTGTGTTCCCTCCCAAGGACACCGCTAGGGCCCACCCTACTCCTGTGTGAGTAGGCCCATCAGTCTGAAGTTCTGGTTGGGCGTGAGTTTGGCGGGCACCAGTCACCCTAAGGACACAGGGCCAGGGTGGTGCTGGTGGCCCTGGGCCCGCCTGGGCTCCCCAGAGACACGGCCAGCGGTGAATGCAGACGACAGGTGCGTACACCTGGGCGGCATCTGATTCTGTGTGCATGGATCCAGGGCTGCTCCCGTCCTCCCAGCACGCAGCCCCGGCGGCCCCTGCATCCTTACAGCATCAGGAACCCCCGAGGTCACCTGGCCAGTCAGGAGGAGAAGCCCAGGGCTGTGCAGCTTTGTTCCCACTCCATCCAGCGTGCGGCACCCCAAAGGCTGAGGGGCTGCTCCCAAGAGCATCACCACGACACACTGGGGGAGAAGTCACCCCACATCCTCTCTCTCCGGCTTCTTTTGAGAAATGACAAGCTCCCACGATCCGGGCTGGTGACGGCAGCCACAGAGTCCCCCTCTTGCCACCTTCCCGGTGGCCTCCAAGGCCCCCTGGAGCACAAACACAGATGTTACGTGACCTGCTCAGAGCCACCCAGGGCAGAGCTGGGGCACATCACTTCCAGGAAAACATGCACGAACATGAAGGGCGGGCAGGTCTGGGCCAGGGTTCCTCCGACGCATTCTCCAGGGGCTGTCCTGGGCACTGTGGGTCCCCAGCAGCGTCCGTGGCCTCCAGCCACTCTGCACCAGGAGCTCCCCGCGTCGTGACACCACCGATGTCTAGACACCGCCCAGCGTCTGCCGGGGCAGGGGTGGGGAGCAGAAGTCGAAGGCGCAGAGCAGCTCCTACGTCTCTTCCTGGAGACTTTCCATAAATAGAATCTTTATTAACAAACGTGCACACGCCTTACAAGCCGCTCTGTGTAGGAGCCAACACAGAGGGGGTCTCCATTCTGCAGTCAGGGAAACCAAGGCTCAGCAGCCCCCATCCCAGGCAGAGCTGACCCCCCAGCCCCGGCCTCCAGGCCCAGCGCCGGCTGCCTTCCTCCTCCTCCTGCTGTCACCTCCAAGAAGCCCCAGGAGGAGCCTGGAAGTCGGAGGTCACAGTCCCGTCTGTCGCTCTGGTCCCACCAGGCTGTAATTACCTGTGCGTGTCTTCCTGCTCCTCCAGGCAGCTGTGGCTGAGCTGCAGCTCCGGTAACAGCCAGTAAGAGGGCAGGTGGGGCCTCTGGAGCACCTGGCTCCAGCCCTGTTCTCCCGTCCTCACACGAATCCCACTCCCTAGATGATCAAGCCCAGGCTCAGAAAAGCAGAGGGCACACAGCTCTGACAAAGGGTGGCAGGTGAGACCAGAG